TTCACATCAGATAACGGAATCATGGCTTCGTTTCTTACCAGCTGTGTGATCCTGGTGAGGAACTTGCCCCACAGGCTCTCTGTGAGCAGCTGGGAAGATGATATACACAAAGCGCTTAACCAGCGCCTCCAAACTAACATCTGTCATATCGCTGATAAAACTGTAACCTTTAGGATATCCAGTCTTAAAGGTCTCTGAATACAATGAGACTGACAGAATTATATTTAAAGGCTACCCAAAAGCATGATTTTAAAAGCCAGAATAACATGGGAATTTTTATTAAATTAGGAATTTTAAGAGTTTCTAATATTTAAAATGGATTAATAGACTTAACATTAATATTTAATGTGACTTAGCTAGAGACGTGTTCAGGTAACTCAAGAGTGTTAGGAATAGCATGCAAATCAACAGGAACAATGAACCAGTGACGAGTCCCATTATAATTAGAAGGATGTTTATACTTTGCTAAATCCATACTTCACTCAGCGGGCTCTGTGGAATCTGCATTTCTCAGCCAGGAAGAATAACCTTAGTTCTAAGAACACAATCCCTGACAGAATTTCCATTTTTAAAAAGCAAGATAGTGCACACTTTTCTTCTCAAAAGCTTATTATGTTGTTTAAAATGCATAACATATGAATATTAAATCACAAGAACTATGCCAAATAATACCACCAAATTGTCATTGTAGATTTTCTTCCAAGGAACAGAACTAAAAATATACATAAATACACTCAAACTACCCAGGCTATATTGGGTTCTTTCGGAATTTTTTTTTTAAACTTATTTTATATTTAACCCATATGCTTGTCATGTGATTTTTCTTTTTATGGAAATGTAAGCTCTGTTTCAGGCATTGGGAAGAAACAGGGTATATGATGGTAAGAGAAGGGAAGCAGTATTTAATAGTTCCATTCTGAATCATGCTAGAAAATTACTTAGAAAGTCTTATGGACCAAATCCTTCTAAAATGAACCCTATTTGTACAGAAAGAGGAAAGGCAGGACTAAATGAAGCAAAATATATAGTGACCACGTTTTTTATCTATTTTGAAATAATGCATTGACTTTTAATACCAATGAGCACTGAATATTACCACTGCAACCAAATTATAAAATAGCAGTTTGAACTTAATGTTTCAGGGCCAACGAACTGCTACCTGTCCTTACAATACCTAGCTAAAAGTGAAATACAAGGTGTGGATGGCATTCTAGCAGGAGCAGGAAGGAAGTTAGAGGACTGTCCATTGCTGGGATTGGAGAAGGGGAGGGGAGGCACATTTGGGTAGGAAAACCTTTGTACTCTCAGGATGGAAGTGGATGGTCAAGAACAGTCATGTCAAGACAGAGTGGCCCAAGGATGAGAACTGAGGATGGGGAGAGACAGGAAGTCAGGCAGGTGTCTTCAACCTCCAGTGCCCATGGCTCCCAGGTGACTGCCTTAGAATGTCTATGCCACTCAGACGAACCAGCTCACCTTTGCTCTGTTGATTTTGCCTCCTCTGCCCAGGACGCTAGAAGTGTCCAGGACAGCTAGTGCCAGTGCTCCCGTGCCCTCATTCTCCCTCGGCTCGTAGAGCAGGCCAAAGAAGTGGTAGGCAGAGAGTGACTTGGAAGATGAACAGGGAATGATAGTTTCTTGTTCATCTATTTATTCCTGACTGGATGAATGAACATATAAACATCTATTCACTTAACATACCATGACTAAGCCACCTTTGGAGAAAGATCATATTATAAGAATTCCTACTGACTGGTTGTGGCTGCGTAGAACTGAGTTGCTAAGGGTGTGAGGGTACCCAGGCTTGGTGAGAGAGACCCCAAGACTCATTATGAATGACAGACCTCGGGTCAGAGAGGGGCAGGCTGTGGATGGCCTGCATTTCTCAAATGATGGATTCTTTTCATGTTGTCCACTCCCTGACATTAATCCCTAGTTGTTTTTCAGGATTTTCCAAGTCTCCATGGCTCAGTGGACCTTCAATAAAGGTTTGATAGAAAAAGAAATATGTAGCCAGTGTTCATCAAGAATTGCTGCGGGCCGAGTAAATAAACAACTCTCTCCAGCTCAGCAGTGGCTGAACCAAATGAATGACTTCAGGAGCCAAAACCAAGCCACTGGCCAGTGATAGACACACTAATCACAGGCAGTCGTTATTTCTTTCCTGTGAAATAACAGTTCGCTAGGGGCACAGTGAGAATGCTCCAAATTCCAGGTGAGAGGGCTTGTAACCAAGGTAACCGTCACACGTCATCAGGATAGGCATAACGTAAGGCCTAAATTAAGGCATGGTTATTTAAAACATAACGAAAAGTTTCCCCCCACCCTTTCTTGGTCTTCATGAATAATTCTTACTGTCTTTTAAGAGTTATAACACTGCTAAAATATCCTTAGCAACATTATTATTCTTTTTAAAAGTTATCTCTACTTGTGGAGCTGTTTGAAAAGCCATCATTCTCTCCAAAAAGATGTTAAGACAAAAAGAGACACTCTTCCCTACAGAGAATATCCCCAATCACTGTCATTTCTCCAGAAACCACTTGATTTGGCTGTAAGTAAAAACATACAAATACCCGCATATAAAAATCCAAAAACCCAATAAAAAAGGCCACCTCCCTCCAGCCCTGAGAGCACAGGGCCTTCAGGCCAAACAGGATCCAGGCCCCGCCTTCTCACCCAAGCTCCATCCTCTTTCACACGTTTTACAGAACATAAATTATGACAATTAAAAAAAAAAAAACCAAAGAACGAGAAAGTGCTATTTTGACCAGAAACCAGAAGGCCTGTTCATGCAGAAGTAATTGTAAGAAGAGCGCAGCCGCGGAAATCAATCTGGCTGCTGCTTCTCCTCAGGCGCAAATTAATTTGGCCTGCTCGCTGGGGCCCGACCGCAGCAGGCTCTCTGCGGATGTTTTGCATGGCCAAGCCCCAGACAGAAGACAGAAAAAGCATATTAACACCACTTAGCTGATGACACACTTTTTATTCCTTTCCTCTATGCCTAGAGGTTTCATGCTGGAGAAATAAAAAACAATGAAAAACAGACCAGGCCACCGTTTTAACTCTTTTACAGGAGAGCAAACATTTTGGCTTTGGTTTTCATGGCATTTAAAAAAAAAAAAATCAATCATCAATCAATCAGTTGATCAATCTTTAAATTTGGCCACCACCATTCCTCTAAGAACTGCTGGTGATTTCCACACCGTGGAAACGTCATCTTCCTGGTGTCACCAACTGAAAAACTGGTTTGCCCCGGGCGGTGCTGCCAAGGCCTGGCTGCTGCCCTGGACGGAGCTTCGGCCTTCTTGCCTCCAAATAACTAGTGTTCTCTGTGTCTGCATAACCAGGGGGAAGAAAATAAACCACTAGAGAAGAAATAGAACAATGCAAAGGAACAACAGAGCCCAATTTTTTGTCATGGAAATTCCTTCAAATCTTAAAAAAAATTCTGAGGTCTTCCGAAGGAAAAAGCTACCAGTTTTTCTGCTCTTTGCAGTTTGATGGAGAATTGATATTACAGAATTTATACGTCAGTGAACTTGTCTAGTTGCAGCAAAACCACAAAGCTTGGGGAACAGACGAAAGCTAGGAACCACCGTTACCACGAGGCAAAACAGTGTCTGTGTTTAAGGCACAGATCTAGCAGCCTCAGGGTTATAGAATAATTCACAGACTGGCTGCTAGCACCACGTGTAGTCTAAATAGAGAGGCAGAAAAGAAAAAGAAAAAGCATCTCTGGAAATGGGTGGCCCGTGGATGGTTTTATTTTTATTTTTTTTTGGAGAGCTAGAGGATTCTGTAAAGCCCCTTAAATAGTATATCCATATATTTATTTTCTGGAGGGAAAGTCTATAGCTGACAGAAGATTCTCAAAGAGATCCCTGACCCTCGCATGACAAGTACTTCCCAGAGCCAGAAGCCGCCTTACTGTCAGCTGCAAAATCCTTTGTAACTACATAATAAAACAGATGGTGTTTTACCCTCATGAAAAAAAGTTATAATATTATAATTGGTGGGTTGTTCATGCTCAAGCAGTGTTGCAGTGATAAATCTCTATAATGATGTTAAATTGTTAAAATTATCCTCTTAGTTCCCTAAATACATTATACATTGTGGATATAAAAGGGGCTTCTCATATAAAACATTAAAGGACAGTTTTACTGTATCATTAATTTGGTACAGAAGCAACATACTACTCACAATGAATATTAATTAATTAAGGATTAACTAGACAATTTTATTTGTCCTCCTGAAATTTATAAGAGCCTTCTTGGAGGAGATTTTAGAGTCCTAAGATGCTTTCAACACAAAAACCAAAAACCAGAAATCTGAGGGAACCCTTTGATTCAGCCAGTCCTGAGGTGTCAATGTTGACTTTGTCTCCTGGGGGTCGATGCTGACGTTGGGGTCTAATCCTAGTGTGAGAAGCGTGAATGCAGAAGGATATGGGACAAATGCAGAAATAGCTGGAGTGGTAGAAGACGCAGTCACACAGCCCAATCCACAGTCCGATGCATGATCTGAATCCAAACCCATCCTCTAAAGACCCTTATTTTTCATTTTTTTTTTTTTAGAGACAGGTTCTCACTCTGTCACCCAGGCTAGAGTGCAGTGGTGTGATTGTGCTCACTGTAACCTCGAACTCCTGGGCTCAAGCGATCCTCCCATCTCAGCCTCCCAAGCAGCTAGGACTGCAGGCACGTGCCACCACGCCCCACTAATTTTTTAGCTTTTTGTAGAAATAGGGTCTCGCTTTGTTGCCCAGCCTGGTCTTGAACTCCCGGCCCCAAGCAGTCTTCCACTCTTGGCCTCTCAAAGTGCTGAGATTATAGGTGTGAGCCACCACACCAGCCTAAAGATGGTTACTAAGAGAAAACGCTCAAGCTGAATTTTTCCCATGTTAGTTTCCTCTTCCCTCAATGGCCTGTAATACCTGCCCCCAAACCCTGTGCCAAGAACAGACCTTTTTGCTCAGAAGTGAGACCAGGAAAGTCACTTACCGGATGCAGGTGGCTGGTCACTGGGGGAGCCTCCAGACCCAGCACCTCCCCTCGTCGAGTTTGGAAGCCTCCCATCAGCCCCGTCCTGGGGCTGCTCTCCCCTCTCTGCCCCGCTGGCTACTTCTTCAGGGGGAAGGCCCATGCCATAGGCACACTGGGGCAAGGGTCCACATTTCGGGGAACCCATGAGGGGTTCATGGTCCTCCCTAGGAGGGTTCCCGCAGCCTGTGCAGCCATCTGCTGAGTTGGAGCTGGCTGCCCAGTGGGGGCAATTGCCACCCTCCACCTCTTTTTGCAAGTACTTTTCAGAGGATGCAGGAATCCATTCAGTCCTGCACAGGGGCTCAGTGAAGTTGCAGTTTTCTGAATCCAGCATGCTGTCTGTCCCTGTGAAGCACTGGCTTAAACTGTCATTCTCCCCCACCTCCAGGGGCTCAGAGAAAGGGGGTGTGGATTTGCTTCCAGGCTGAGTCAGGAACAGTAAACAGTCTGGGGGCTGGGAAGGCCTGTCCATGTATTCGTCTTCCGTGGGAATCTGCTTGAAGGGGTCCCCGTCGGTCTCGGTCTTGCTGACCAAGGAGAGCATCCCGACATCTTGGCCCTGTGCATAGGGACCACCTCCTGCACACGCTCCCCCACAGACACCACCACTGTCTGGATAGCACATATCTTCTGGAAACGGCTTCTCCTCCAGAGTCAGCAGTAAGACACCTTCACGCACTGGGTGCTGACTAGAGGCTGCTGTGTGGGTGCTGATACAACTGTCACCTGAGGACTCCTGCCAATTTAAATTCAGAAGGCAGAGGCATTAATATCCAAAGTTATTAGAACATGTTTCACTAAACACTGCTGAGAATGGTATTTATACTAATTATTTCCACCATAACAAGTCCAGGTGGAACATTTACCACGGCACTTTGTGTTATTTAAAATTACGGAGTGCAAGAGAATACTATAATGCTGTGGTCCCCAGTCCCTGGGCCGTGGACTGGTATTGATTGGTCTGTGGCCTGTTAGGGACCGGGCCATAGAGCTCTGCTGCCTCCCTGCAACCCTCCCAGGGGTGTGGAAAAATTGTCTTCCATGAAACCGGTGCCTGGTGCCAAAAAGGTTGGAGACCGCTGCTATAATGGAATACACCCAGAAACAAATGACTCTAGCTGCATTTCAAATAAATAGCATATTCACGTCTAAGCAAGGGGGACAGCTAACCCAAATAAATTTTGAGCACAGTATTTTGACTATATATTCTCAATATAAATACAAAAAACAAAAACAACTATAAACAAATACTGAACTCGATTCTGTAGCTCTGTGTTTTGCTATAACTCCGAAACTACTCTGTGTGTATTCTAGTTTTGAGCAAATGAGGAAACATTTTGAGAATAATAGGAACTAGGTTTCATACTGCTGAGAAAGGAGAGATTCAGATATGGAAAACAGAAAGACCAGGATGAATCCTGTAGTGCTGGGAATAGAACTGGAGAAATAAGCTTGAGCTCATGCTTTAAAATTTATATATTTTTATACTGAAGAAAGTAGATCTAAAGGATTTAATGGGATAATTAATGAAATTTTAATATTAAAAGTGGATTGGCTAACGGTATTGTACCACTGTTAAGTTTCTTGATTTTGATAAATATACTATGGTTATACGTGAGAACGTCCTTGTTCTTAAGAAATGCGCAATGAAGGATTGAAGGACATAGGAACCCACTGTCTGCCATTCAGTCTAAAATGTTCAAGATAAAGCCATGTAGAGAGTGCGCAAATAATAAAGCAATGTGATAAAATGAAAACTGGTGGGTCTGAGTATAGCGCATGTGGAAGGCCTTTCTACCACTTTCCTGTAATTTTGAAGTTATGTTAAAGTAAAAAGTTACCAAATAACTACAGAGTCAAGGAAAGTTGCATCTCGTTCTTCCTAGAAATCTATGCTAGACAATCAAGATTGGTACTAAAGAAATAACACACTTACACAGAGATGGTAAGTGTGTGGCCAAGAAAGCCAAGAAAACAGGCATTTAGGATGAGCATGGAGTTGGGTTTTGGGTTGTTCTAAGGGGATCCATCTGGGAATTGAGGTTTAATCACCACACACGAAAGTGCCACTTGAGCCATGGGGCTCGGTATTGGACTAATAGGGCTAGACCAGCCTAACTGTTGAAAGTACTTAACGGAGGCACTAAAGACTTTTAACTTTACCTTATTTCCACTTAGGCGGCCACAAGCCTCGTTGATCCAGTGCCACAAATTAGCTAGAAAAACAAAGGACAAAGACTTCATGTTATTATTTCCTATTTCCTTTTGTTAAAATAAAGTTCATTGTGTATACTGAGGATATATAACATGAGGTTATGGAATAAAAACAGTAGCACGGTTACTATAGTGAAGCAAATTAACTTATCCGTCATCTCACATAGTTACCTATTACTTTTGTGCGTGGCAAGACAGCTAAGATCTACGAATTCAGCAAAAATCCTGAATACGATATAATATCGTTAACTATAGTGCTCATGTTGTGCATTAGATCTCTAGTGTTGTGCATTAGATCTCTAGTCTTGTCCATCCTGCATGTCAGCTACTTTGTATCTTTGACATCCCCTCATTTCTTTCCCTCTGCCCCTGGTAACCACTGTTTTATTTTCTATCTCTGTATATTTTTTTAACAAAAGATTACACATATAAGGGAGATCATGGGCTATTTTTCTTTCCGTGTCAGGCTCAGTATTACTGACCACTATGTCAGCCCAATATTATCTTTCAACATTGTCCACAGCAAGCCTTTCAGTGAGCATCCCTGGGAGTGAAGCATTTAAAAATGAATCAACTGATTTAAAGGCTATGAATGCATCTTACTCCTATCACAACAGAACTTCCCATTCCACGTAAAGCAAAGCATGATCCACTGATGTTCCACTGAATACCTCTGGGCACATGTGGGGACTGTCAGAGCTGCTGTTATGACGACAGACATTCCCATTCCCTTAGCGAGCTTTCTTTGATTACGAGGGACTAGGCTAGGCATCGTAGGGAACAAAGAAGACGTGTCTAAGCGACCGATCCTCTAGTAAACTAGCTCAAATGTATGTACAATAAAATCGAGGTGTATATGGAGGGCTGTCAGACCCTGCCGAATTCCAGCAGGTCCCAAAATCTTTCCCACTATCCCTGGTTGCTTCTCAGAAGAAAGAAGAATATGTTCTTTGGCATATACAAAGTACATCTCCATTAACTTTTATAAAATAGAAGTGATGAAATCTAAAAGGTCAAATCTATGAATTTATATTATACCAAGATAAAATTTTATCCTACCTCTAATGAATATGTAACATTGTATCCACTATAAAGACTGAAGTTAGGAGTCATCAGTTCTCCATGGGAAGATAATCACAGTTCATAATAATAGCTGATGACATCTAACACATACTGAGCACTTCAGTGTGCCAGGCACTGGGCTACACAGTCCACACATAATCTCGTTTATGCTATAGACTATTATGTAACTTGCACAGTTTATTTAACCTCTCTTACCCTCAGTTTCTTCCTCATAAAATAGGGAAAATAATAGTACCTACTGCATGGTGCTGTTGTGAAGATTTACTTAGTACGTGTAAAATGCATATGGTCGTGCTGGCATATGATAATATTCAATATATGTTAGCTATTGCTATCATCATTGTCATTCTTGCTTCTTTTCTATCATTTTGAAATTATATCACAGAAAAATTACTCCCAACAGAAGAACAGTTGCAGCTGTTTCCTTGTAGGAATCAGTCCAGACAATCACAAATGGCATTAAAAAGAAATACTTGTACTCAGAGGTGATGGCCAGTCATAACCACCATGATCATCTCTCCCCGGGATAACTGCAAACGCCTTCCTGTCTGGTGCACCTGTGTCCCCTCGCCCTGCACCATCAAGTCTGTTTGCTATGTGCAAGCCGGGGGCTGTCCTCACCGCCCTCTGCTGAGGATAAAGGGCAAACTCGAGTCCTGCAGGGCTGCCTCGTCTGGCCGTGCCCTCCTCTCTGGTTCCACCTCGACTGGTTCTCTGACTTTCTGCTACAGCTGCATTAGCCTCTGCAATCCCCTCAGCACATCACAGTAAATTCCAATTGCCTTTCAGATCTCAGCTCACCCATCTCCTCCTCTGGGAAGCCCCGGCTGATCCCGAGGCCCGGCAGACCCTCTGTCACCTGCTACCCGGTGCTGGGCACTTTCTGTCCAGTACTCAGCTGCATGCTGTGGGCTGAGCGCCTGCCTGCCTGCCCACTGAGATGCTTCCTCCTGGAGGGCACCATATTGAGACCTCAGTGCCAGTCCAGTGCCTGGTGGCCAATTAACATGTGTGGATGAATGGATAAAGAGAAAGCTAACCTTTCCTCTTTAATTAAGCTTTTGATTGCCCAGTGTTACATTAGGCCATGTAATGGTAATAGAAATAGCAAGACATGCTGGGTGTTATGAAGTTTGTGGATGTGATATGGGAGAACTGACCAGATCACAGCAATGGAGAGGTGGACAGTAGCAACTGAAAATGGAAAAGGATGGTGAAACAACAGGTGCTTCAAAAGAGAATGATCTGGGCCAAGCGCAGTGGCTCATGCCT